ATTTGACTTTCAATCTGAAGCTTTGCACGAATAAAATTCTTAATGATATAAGTTCATTGGGAAGTTGTGACTTTTCTGGTATCTCCATTTCTAAGATACAGAATATTTGCAATACTCTCATATATATAAAAGCAAATATTGTTCATATCTATTCATGTGTTTAGAAAGAAAATCATAGAAAAATAAAAACTTGTTCAAATGAACTAATCTGAATAAGAAATTTGTTTGTGCAAAGTTTGAAATCAAAACTCGAAAGTCGATTTTCTATGTGACCTGAGAGGGACCATGGCTTTCTGTTGAAAAACCCAATAAGCTTTCGATATCTAAGGAACAAAGACTCGAAAAACCAAACCATTCTAGATCTTTATATTACTTTCTAGCATTCATCAAATGAACATCGTCTCGGTGAAAAAAAAAAAGATTTGACACCTAACAAGGTTTCCTCGTTAGATACGATATTCTAATTTCTTCAGTGACTACCAACTATTTTCTTCTTCTTCCTGATGGAAAACTGTAAATAAAAATTAAAAAAATTCTTTATTCTCATGTTCTTACCAAGTACAGTCGAAGTTTTTCTTAATCCATGTTCAAATATTAACTTGATACATGTACCTAATTTTCCTCGAACAAGATCCGATATATTTTCATTAACACTATCATCACCAGCTAATGAATATAATTTAGATCTTTCATCAACTAATTGTACAAATTTAGCTGGAAACCATCCATGTTTACCATTTAATTCTCCAATCCAACAATGTTCATCAGACATAGATAAAATTTTTAAAATATCATTTTTTTTAAAACCAAGTTCATTTGAATCTTGACATTCAAAATCTAATAATGCTTTAGCACGTTTACATTTTTGTAATGATATATTAGCATAATGCTCATGATCTTTAACATGTGATTCAATTGAATAATCAACACTAAGATCAATATTTTCTTGTGCATAACCTTGAGGATCATTATCTTTAAAATGTTTTGCTATTTTAAGTATAGCTTCACGTAAATTAACAAGCATTTCAGTTTGTGTTATATTACGTTCAATAAGTGCTTGACAATTATTTGATATTAAATTTGATTTATTACGAGAAAAAAATCCACTTGATCGATCTGTAGATGTTAATTTTTGATTATGACGACGTTGTAAAATATCTTTTGGTAAATTTAATAAATTCATTTTTGGATTTATTGTAAAACCTTCTTGGGACATTAATTCAGCTAAATATTTTTTTCTATATGTATCTATTGTTGTTGATGTTAAATTAAATAATTTTGGTAAATCTTGAAATATTTGTTGATTATTACCATATTCATATTCAAATAATTGTGGTAATTCACATAGAAAATTAAATATTTGTGCACTATTATTATATTCTATTAAAATTTCTTCATATTGTTTAAACATAATTAAACCTATTTGAAATAATATAATTGAACCATAAAGAAAAAAATAATCCCATAATTGATAAGTAAATTTTGTATGAAATACATTGGAATATAATGTTAAAAACCATTGAAAACATATTAATGTTAAATCAATATCATGTTCATTAAATAATTTATGAATATTTGGAAGATATTGTTGAATTAAATAACGAAATACACGTATATCAACTTGTACACCAAATAATGATACGGAATAATATTGACCTGGTAGAAGATCTTCAACAATAGAACACATCATCCAAAAAGCATCTTCTTCTTCGAATAATAATAATAATGTTGCACAAATAACACCCATACCCTAGCATATTGACAAAAAAAAAAGTAAATATAATTACGTTTTGAATATGAACTCTTTTTGTTTTTTTTTTAATCAAATTTTCAAGCAATAATTTATTTTTGTTGAGACTTATGCCATAGAAAAAAAAAATTAAGCGACATACCAGATCTTTTATTTTATTCTGTATTATTCAAAATATTAAACATGATGAAGCATGATTGAAATCTGAATTTGATAGAAAAAAAATAGTAAAGATACTTTTATGTTCATTTAGCAACTGAGTTCGTTATAAAAATCTGTGCCAGGTCGTTAGTTGTATCAAGACGACGTATGTACCTTTTTTTTTTACTTTATAATTAGTTCACTAGGAAAATAAAATAGTGGTTAAGACTATTGCCATCTACCATGTGTCTCTTCATGTAGCAATGTCTTATAATTGAGAAGTAGAGATTTTTGAACTCTTAGGAAATCTATCAAGCTCACATAGATCTTTCTCAACATAGTTATAATAGTTTTACTGAAGTTTTACTTTATAGAATAGTATATATAATAGAATTGAATGACAATATTTTGACTTGTAAAGTTCAGTTCAAAAGAATGTTCACTTCACAAGATATTGAATTTCCAAAAAAATATGAAATTCTCGAATCTTTTGTCGAATTATGAGTAATTTTTGAAAATTCATTATCTCTTGAAGAAGGTATTCTTTTAAGCTAAAATTTTTAAGTCAAAACCTTGTTATTTGATTCTTTTGTACATATTGTGTTAAAGGCTAAAATTTTTGTTTTCGTCAAAAATCAAATAAAATCATGAGAATTTATCTTACCTGACAATAACCAATATCTAAAACAATTAAAAATACAAATAGTTTTTCAAAAAGAAATATTTGTTTTTTTTTTTTCTTGTTTATACCTGGGAAAAGCCATGCGATTGCTCGTAAAACTCGTCTTAATCGAGATATTCCTGATGCATTTATTGTCATAAAACAAACATTCGTTGGTAATGTTCTTAAAAGATCTTTTTCGATTTGTTTCGAATAAAGTTGAACATCATTATTACATTGTTTAAGCATATCAGTATAAGACATATTTGCTTGATGTTTTTTATGTACAGAACCACTAAGACACATCCAAATTTGAGCACGTATTGATGATGGAATGCCAAATGATTGCTGTAAAAGTAAAGCAATTTTTGTATCTTGCCGTATTTGTTTTGGATCAATTTTTTCTACAAATTCTTGTTCTTGTATTGGTAAATGAATAACATCAATTTTATATGTTGAATCAAGATGTGTAAGCCATCGAAGTTTTACTTGTTCATTTTCAATACCAGGTATAATTTCATAATGTTGTTCATTTTCTTTAATGTCAATACGAAAACCATATTCATCATATATTGTATGTTCATCAGTATCATGTAATAATAATTGTGGCGATGGAATAAGTGAATTAATAAGTGCAGAAAATGGTTCACGAATACTAATTGGTGCATGAATTTTATGATGACCATTACTTATTTCATTGTCTTTATTATTTATTTGTAATAACAATGGTGTAGAAGGTGGAGGTTGTATTGGTGGTAAATATTTTGAAGAATAAGATTCATTATCATTTTCACAATAATGTGAAAATACATGATGTGATAACGATGAAAAATCATTAGCATCATTAAATGAATTAAATATTTTTGTCATTTTCGAAATAGAAATAAGAAAAAGATTTTATTTTTTAAAAGAAAAATAATGCACAGCTGCTTATGTTGTTAAGATGATAAATGTGATAGTAAGTGAAATACAATAGGGATTGGTTCGATGAATAAACGTTAAAAAAATCAATTTGTTTCCTTTTCTGTGTTTTACCGCCATCTAGAAAGTCGAAGAGTTTTATGAAAAATGAGAAATGAATTCTTGACAAGAAATCGGCTTTTGAAAGATGAAGTATAATAAAAAATATTTTATATTGAAATGTAGAATCATTGTTTTATTATCAATCAAAAGAAATTTTCAAATAAATCTATCGAATATCATATGTATAATTTTTTGATTTTATCTAAATCGAAAATTATTCCATATTTACTCAATCTTACGTTAACATAAGAAAACATATATTAAAATTAAATTTCATAGAATCGAATAATTCTATTCACCGAATGTTATAGTTTATCATGTGCAGATCTCAAAATGTCTTTACAGTGCATGACTTTTTGTTTCATAGACAAGATCTTGAATTATGTACACGGTTGGAAAAAATATTATTCCAGGGGGGTAACGCTATAATTTCAAATAGGTGATATGATGAATTTTATACCAAATGAAAGCCCGTGAAAAATGGGATTTATTGATGCTAAATAGTAAGGGTTATGTAAACCNGCAACTGGATATTTATTTATTTCATTTTAATATCTTCTTCATGATACCCCTCAAATCATTTCACACTAAAATCAGAAGAACTATTATTACAGTTTTACATTCAGTGTTTTTTATCGAATCATAAAATATATAAACGCGTATGTTTTAAGAAAAGCTACACACGAACGCCCTCTTTAAAATTATAGAGGCGATGTGTAATTTTAGTGCAATGGCGATTTGTGTCTGTAGATAGAAGTGTGTGTAACTTTATCTCAACCATATACAGAACAGAAAAAAAAATCTATTGGTGCATACATATAACCACTATATTATACACATAAAATATTAAGTATAGATGTCATATGAGCATGAGAGAGTAGGGTGTAGGTGTTCTCTTCATCCACACCCTCCCAAATCACCGGCTTTGTATGAGATTGTCTCAACATCAATATGAACTGATCTTATATGACATCTATCTTTGATATTCTATCCAGGTCTAGACGAACGGAGCGAAGCGCGTTTGAAACGTGCGAACGCGTACGAACACTGGGAGAGAATTCTGAAAAAATGCTACGAAAGCGCTATATGTCAGCAGACGAACATGTTTCGAGTTACTTGTTCGGAATGCGTTTGTTTGTTCAACAAGGGTGTGGATGAAGAGAACACCTACACCCTACTCTCTCATGCTCATATGATATCTATATTTAATATTTTATGTGTATAATATAGTGGTTATATGTATGCACCAATAGATTTTTTTTTCTGTTCTGTATATGTTAAACAATGGGGGTGTCGTTCTTCTGCAGTTGTACCAGATTTTGTTCGGTACAAGTGCAGTTTTTCATACACTCTCATCCTATTCTAGAATTAGCTTCCTATATTTATGAATTAAATGCTAATTATGATCGTCATTCTTTTTTTCAGATGGCTGGAGTGATACAATGTTTTCGTGATGAATTTTTACCAGCACATCAAAATGATGAATATGTTGATCTATCTAGTCTCGTTCAGAAACTGAAAAATTTTACACCGACTCCATTGCAATGTACGAAACCAGAAGAATCTGTCCAGTATGTAATTTCAGCAAGAAAAAAAAGATTTCTTTTTCTGATATTTTTCACCAAAATGCGTATATCTACATTTTAGAAATATGCCAGCAGTTGTCATTATGAATTTTTCCAGTCATTATGGCGAAAAGTTAAAAATTTCATTTCCAAATAAAGGATTTACAGCATTGGCTAATATTGTTCAACGAAATGGTTCGGATATTCATGCTCGTGCTCAACTAACATTAATGGTTCACATTACGAAAATGGAAATGCAGTTATGGCTAGCAGTATTACTCTTTATGAAAATTGAAGATTTATTTGTTCATACAAATCTGACACAACAGTTGGAACAGTGGAAATCGATTGTACTGAAAACCATCAATCATCCTCAGGTGAGTTCAAATAAATAAATCGTGATGACGATGCGGATAATGAAAGGGTTCATTGTCAAAAGAGATACAATTTTTGCTGTGTAAAGATTCTAAGATCAATAGCTATTGAAACCAGCGTATAGCCATTTAGAGTATGCGCAGAAATTTTAAGTTATCTATAGTTATTTAAACTCTTGTATAGTTATTTAAAGCTATCCATAGCCATTTAAACTTTTCTACAGCTATGTGAATTTTTCTATAGCTTTTTCAACTTTTGAATAGCTATTTAAAGTTGCACACAGCTATTTTAACTTTTTAATACTATTCAATGTAATTGATAGCTATTTGAGCAAAATTGCTGGGTAACTTGCTTTTATTGTTACTGTAAATGCTGAGAAAGGGGTGGGAAAAAATTGTGAAGAAAAGTTTGACGACCAGTTAGGTCTTTCAAAGAAACTTTTTTTTGTTTTGTTTGTTGTTATTGAAGTGGTTTCCTGTTTAGAACTGTATGATTACATTGCGGATCTTTACAACGAATGGTATATATAATGTTTTTAGTGTCGATCAAAAAAATGAAAAAAACTGAGGATGAGGATAACAATCTACATTTATTGCTATTGTAAATTGTGTGGCTATTTGAGATAGTTAATATATGCTCTGCAATAAGTATCGTCATAAAAAAAACTGTATTCTTAACGAGGCAATAAAGCGATTCTTCTCCTCTTGTTTACTGTCCATTTATCAAGGTTTCTTTATCAACTTGAACATATTCTTTATTTATTTTTGGCCCTTTTCTGACAGTTTTGTCCTTTACAATACTAGGATATATAGTATGGAGAAAATTGCGGAGAGATCTGTTTTAATTGTTATTGTAAATGGTATAGCATTTTGAAATGTGTACCGTTTCTCGTCAATAATTTTCGACTTGAAAGACTGCATTCTTAACATGGCCATCAAGTGATGCTCCTTCTCCTCTGATCTTCTATATATTTATCGATGTTTCTTTGCCAACCTCGATTTATTTTTAATTCTTTTTGACTTTTCTCTGACAATATTGTATTGCATAGCACTCGGATATGGAACTATTCAAATAAATTAGCTTGTGAAAAAGGAACGGCAACGGCTCTGGACGCAACTTTGTCATGAGTCGAGATGACTCAAAAGATTTTGAATAGTATCGAGCATTTTATGGATCAAAGTTTCGACCTACCTTGAAAGTACTTGATTTTGAATAGTTGGCTAAACTATACAGTGATTCGAATTAAATAGCTCTGGAAAGTTTTAAATAGCTGAGTACCAGCTTAAATAGCTACGGCATTTTAAATAGCAATATGTTTAATTAATAGTATCTCTTTTGAGAAGCTATGAATGAAAGTGAGCGTATGAGTTTAGTGTCACTCTCCTCCTTTTACCAACAACTTTTCAGATATAAGTCTATCGAATAGTGCGGCCAAATCGAAATTTACATATTTGAAGATTTAGAGATTCTTTTTTCAGAGTGGTCGTGCGACCAATTTTCTCTTAATTTTCTCATAGTTATTTAGTTTGGTTTGTTTATTTGTAGATTATCAAATTGATTGAAGATCTGATGCATGAAGTTTTCGGTCGAAATACGGAAATCAAGAAAATGGCTAAAACTCCGATGCAAGTCCATTTTATTTCGATCGATTTTCCAACATTACGTGGATTTTCTGGCATAAACGAGTTGTTCATTAATGAAAATTATTTTTCGGCTAAGATTTCTGAATGGAAATCGAATACTCGTTTATTGAACTCAATTACAAAAATGGATTTAATCACCATTGCATTACATGAATGTGCTCATGTTCGAATACGCCAAGTAAAGAGCCTGTTGAAGTTTTTTCCTCTATATAACATTGATAATAGGGGAAACCTAAAATAAGATATCGAAGGTTTCTTTTTTTGTTTAGCAAGTCGATGACATTAACATGAGTACACCCAACATGTTGCAATATAGCCAGATCGACAAACCGAAATGTGACCAAGAATTCGGTAGATTAGCTGAAATGGCTTTATTTAAAGAACAAATCAATTGGTTTCAATCAAAAGATACAATAAATGTAAATTATGTTGAACAATTTCTAACTGCAATTGAAAATGGAACTGAATTACCAATATTGACGGAAAATGATGGAGCTATCCGTCGTGAACTATCGACTGGTATGGGTGTTGATATACTAAATGACCGATTTATCTGTTAATAGTGAAATTCTCCCGTATGTATCTGAATGGAACTCTTGTCTATGAACACAACAAAGATCTTTTTTTGTCTTGGCTCTAGTTTAGTTTGTCTTTTTTCTCTTCGCTCTAGTTTAGTTTGTCTTTTTTCTCTTGGCTCTAGTTTAGTTTGTCTTTTTTCTCTATCAGAGATTGTTGTTGAAATAAACAGAAACTATTCTAAATAGTTATTTGATTGATATTGGCGATTTTCAGACGGTCTCTTTTCTCTTATGTTTACATAAAATTGAACTCCTTCTTAGATTAATGTACGTCTGAGAGAATTGAGACTCATCGTTCTTAATTTTGACGGAGCAATTAAAAACGAAACAATACGGAACACAAAAAGCAATCCAAACTCGTAGCAATTGCGGCATTAAAAATTTTTAAAGAATGTGAAAAAGGAACCATACAGATTTACAAATACCACAAAAATAGAAAACATTCGAAGAATTGTTGAAATGTTGATTATCACTGATTTCACTTTCGCCTTAAATGGGTCGCCATAGTCTCGTCCCCATCCTCAATCTTGTCAGAATTTGTCTGTATTCTCAACACAGTTATCTTCAATTACATCAAAGAGTTTCGTCAAGCACTCAAAACCATCTACCACATGTTTCATATAAGTTGTGTTGATTTCAACAGTCCAGTAGCAAAGAATGTAATGCCATTTTTAAAAAAATAAAAAAAACAACAGTCTTAACTAATACTTCGCTCTCGTCAGCAGAAAAAAAATATTTGTTAAAATTTACGTTGATCAGTGATTCAGATATTCTTTAATGTTTTTTTCTGAATAAAACGATTCTAATCTCGATTAGACTGATATCTCGAATAGATAATGTTACAATCGTTGAACTATCTATGTAATTACTCGTTTTAACAAGCATTGTGATCTTCTCTGACACTTTCGTTAATAGTTGAACAAATGAAACAATACTATCGAAAACGAAACGTCAGCATCCATGATGAGAATGCCTATAAAGAAAGTTCATAAGCGGATCCTTTCCGAAAATTGATTGTTTATGCGTTGTCATTACCAGTTCAATTGAATGAAAATATTATCTGCACACATTCTATTCTTTGAAAGCTTCAAAGAAAAAACCAAGATTTAGCACCAATAAGAAATTCAAATTTGTACACCGTTTGTTTCGAAGGCCATCGATGTTTGTTGATCAATGTCTTAGACATTTTAATAATCTTGTCATCCTTCACGAAAACGGGCGTATATACATTGGGTTTTACAACATAGTCATCTGTGTGTGAGAGAACAAGTTTAGATACAATTTCACCACTGAATCAAATGATAATATCAATTGAAAACATCTTCTCTGATCAGCGCTCGATTGTGTATTGCGTTTAATCGAGAAAGAAGTTTTGCTATCAGAGACAACCCATATATTCCATAGGAGCGCAAACTTGTTTTTCTCTCATGAAACTAGTTTTTGCTTGTTCATCTATCAAGCATTTCTCATCAAGACCTTGGTACAAAAAAGCGATGGTCAAGATCATCTCAATCCTTGTTCAATTCGTTCAGATGTATATAGTTTCACGATCACTACTGAATGTCCTTTAATAAGCAGAGAATTCTGGCAGAAACTTACATAAAAATCATTCGCTCTAATAACGACGGTGAATTGCTGAGTTGACTTGATTGAGACAAAGGACGAGTAAGACATATTCAATAAAAATAATTCATATGATGCTCTATAGAACTCTTCAGGAAATCAACTGACTTTCCGGACATTGAACGAGCATCCAGAAATCAAATTAATTTCACATATCAAGAAAATTTCCACAAATCCCATATATTACTACAATCTAAGGGGTTCGGAAAGTGAATCGTCTTTTAACGACTTCTGCATAGCTTTCAGAAAATCGACCTAAACACCAAAGATGGAATGCCTTCGAGGGTGCAACGATGACTTGGACTCAGTGGAAATCTCTGTTAATGAGTCTGAAACGAAAGCATTAAATGAACTTTGGTGCTAAATTAATGAAAACTAAGTCAAAAGTTGGTAATTTATCGAATTAATGTCTAGCTGCTGGAAATTTTTGCGCAACAATCTCGTGAGGAGCGGTGTGGTAGAAGGACAGAAATGCAGTTCTATCTGAAAAAATGAGGCGGTATATGTATATTATGTCACAGGCAAATTTGAATTTTAGGCAAAATTGGTTTTTTTTTCGGCGCTTCTATGAATTTCAATTTTGACTAGGTAGAATTCGTTCGCTTTTTTAATGATTATTTTATATCATTTAATTACCAATTTCTTTCATTTTGATAAACTATATTTACTGGGCGCTAAATAGCTTTCAATATTTTCTTTTGCAATATCAACAATGGCATTACGAGAAGCAAATTCGTCTCATCATAATATTAATGATGTTGTACGTGAAAAATTTTACGAACTTGCAAAAAAACATATTGATGCATTAAATCCTAAATTTCGTAATAAAGCTGTTATCACTCGTGATCAAAGCGAAAAAATAATCAATGTACTTCAGAACAAGGTATCTACTGAAAAGGTTTTCGGACGTTTTTCTCGTTGGTGCAAACAAACATTCACGCTTCGTCTCATCGGTGGTCATCAAGTTTTATGCGATTTTAAACAAGTTAAGCCTGTTCTTTTATATGAGGGATGTACGATGTCTATCATTACTGCTTGAATAATAGAGGAATGTTTTTAACAATATAGCTTTTTGATTTATCTCTACAAGCTGATAGTTTTTCTATTAAATAATTCTGGAAAATATACAATAGACTTGAGTTTAGATGTTATATCTGTGATGATTTATAAGAGAAGCGTACAAAATCATCTTTACTGAAGACATTGTTTTTATATTAGAAAAATTCTTATAAATATACTATGTACATAAAAATCTATCTAATTTCTGTTATCTAATGTATTAGAATTGAAGCAAATAAATGTTAAAAATTTTTGATCAATAAAGATTTAGTTTCATCTGAAAAGAACTATTTGTGAGAAGGTCTGTAGAAAATTAATTTAATTTCAAATGTATTAGTTTCTGAAGAAGTTTAATCAATCTTAATTTCTTTGAGTTTTATAGTATTTTAACAAGAAATTTATTACATATTTTAATGTTTAGTTTCCTCAGACATAGAGTAATATAATTTACTGTATATTAAAATAAAACAGAATAAAAGATAATGCATTCTTTTACAATTAATTTATCGAAAGAAATACGTCGTTTAATTGGTTATTGGGCTTTTCGAGGTATGAATAGAGCGTCACAAGGAGGTGTGGACTTGGCTGTGGCTGTTGGTATGGATGTTTCCCTTCATTAACACCCACACCCCAAAACAAGTATATTACATATGATACATGTGACCAGAACAAATTCATTTTTGTAGAATTTTTAGAGAATTTATTTTTCTTCTCGAACAAAGTTAAACCAACGGTTTATAAAGCCAATAAGCTGGAAAATATTCGAATACTCTATAAACATCTGTTTTTCTTTTAGACGCTGACATAATCAATTTTTACCAAACAAATATTACCTGTAGTGAAATAATAATAGGCAATTCTTGAAGCTTATTTTAAATAGTGTCCAATTACAAGTATCAAGTCTCTTGGATATCTGCTTAAAAGTTGAAAAGAACCTTTAAAACATGGAAACCATTTTTGTACGAAATTTAGAGGCCATTTACTGAATCTCACATAATGCTGTTTCTAGATTTTCTTTTTATTTCATTGTTTCCAATTAAACATAATAAGAAATTTGTAGACAATTGACTTTTGCAAATCTTTATTTGAATATATGCAAAACTACAAAAAATCTATGAATCATCAACAAAACGAACAATATCAACAGCTCTTTACATTGACATAGAAATGGATTTGTGGAGCGAAATTTAGAGAATAGGATTTATTTCAATGTGTTAATATTCACGAGAAGTTCGAACTGTCGAAATATTTCTTCTTTTAGTTCTAATGTCCCATATTAACAATAGAAATATTATAGGGAAAATTTGCTACCATTTGTAGTCTTCAGTTTTTACTATGTCTAGTTCTTATTTATTGAACTTGTGGAATGATATCTCTTAAAGTGTATCCTATAATAAAACATAAGATTGAGTAGCCAATATAATCGATACAACTATAAAACACATTTTCAAGTAGCATTTACTTTGATTGTAAGATGTTTAAAGATATTACTATTTATTGGTTCATTAAGTTTTTTATTGAAACATAAAATGAATTGTTAATTCATAAATATATATTGATTGAGTCAAACATTTTTCGTCATGCTTGATATTATCACATGTTAACAAACTTTATCAAATGAGATAGTTCTAAAACAACTCGTATTTGTTCAAATAGATAAACGAAACAATTTTTTCTTTCTTCAATTGTATCATATTACTTCTCATATCACATTTCAAAATTGTGCACTGAAAAAAAAAATTACTTTTTATTTTCAAAGAAAAAAAAAGAACATAAATTTCAAGAATAGACGTATACCAACGTACTATATAACACGATTCTTGTATCAAGAGCTGTTAACATCTTTGTCTAAAGCATAAAATGAATAATCGTTCATATGTATACATAATATATAAAAATAAATATGAAATATATATATATATGAGTTTCTTTTATTGAATAAATCAAACTAGGTTGATATTACACTTGTCAAAGCATTGATTAATATGTATCGATGTATTTTAATGAGTATAGTAGTATTACAGGATTTCGATATATAATTGTCAATGAAGCCTTGAAAAGAAACGATTGTTTGAATCTTCAATGTGCAAATAAAACTGCACATATATTAAAATATCATGACAAGATACACAAACGATTTGTTTCATCGATAAGTTTCACGTAATCAAAGAAAATAGAAGCTCTAAAAATTAAATACATTCAACTCATTTTTAATGTAACACATATCTTCATATCTGTCTTTTCTTTCTTTTTTTAAATTCTACGATTACTCGAAAAATAAATGTATTTATTATTCAAGAACAAAAAAAAAGAATCAATTTAATCTTATTTGCTCATCGTACTCTACATATCAATCAATCAATTTTACATTAAAATTTGTTCACTCCAAGGCTCAATGACATTTACCGTAACAATAGCCTACAAATGAAGGATTTTAATTTCTACAATTCAATTGCATGAGAAAAGAAATAAGCTTCAATGTAATTTAAACATTGTTAAATCATAAACTTGTCTTTATCACTGTCTAATACATCCAAGTGATAATCATTATCAAATGTCATTGCATATGAGTAAATAAATGAATATAGTCTTACACAGGAATATAAGGACATTTATAATTACTGTTCTTCTTCATGATATTATGTTTTTTTCGATATTCACAAAGTAACTAATTAACTTGAACCTTATTCGTTCGCATAGGCATATATTGTTCATTTACCAATATCATTACTATTGACCAATGTTGCGTTGGTCTTGAAACTTTGTTCACATATATATATATATAGAAAGACGCGAAAAGTGAGATGTAGGCATAAGAAAAAGAAGGGCAACAGCAGTAGTATATGCAATAAGATTTTTCTTTTTTCGTTCTTTGTCCTTTCTTCTTCTTCGTTGTCTTCCCAACTCTGTAATACATATACGTATAAATCACAATCACTACATCATCATAGTTTCTTTCTTCTTCTTTCTTTTTTTTTTCTTTGTACTACTCGCCTCTTTTTAACCCGTCATTTATTCATTTCCATTGATACTCCATGGTATCGATAACATTTATATGATTCAACAACGAACAGTAAGAGAGCGAAAGAACAGAAATATCTATGAGACTAAAAAGGAAAAGGACTTCTAAATCGATTGAAAGTCTTCAATAGGATTTTATTATTGAATTAGATTTTTTGTTTTTCTTTACTTTTATTCATATTCAAAAAAAAAAAAATACAGAGTACATGACAAGAAATGTTGGTATGTACATACACAAAAGAATTTCTCTATTCAATTAATTGTCTATTTTGACGTAAAACAAAAAATAATGATATGTCTAGTCATGTTTTGTTTTATTTATACAATTGATTGAATAAAGTAGAATAGAAAAAATATATATGATAACAAAACATTTGTGACGTATAAATTTATTGGATATTTTTGAAATAATAAGATTTATTCTGTTTTATTTTCAGATTAATCATGGTGTAATATATTGATAAATAGTGGTCTACACGTACGACCATGAATTTTCCATGTGGACCGTTAGATACGATCCAATTAATCGCACTTATTTTATTCGGACTTCTTACTTTGCAATGTCTATTAGGCATTGGTCTTGGCATTGGATTTCTTGTTCAGCCACCATTGTATAATACTATTGTTAATCTAAATTCTGCTTTTAGTAAACAAACATATTTTTCAATTTATGCACGTTAGTATATAAATTAATTTGAAATTAAACAATTCATTATTAAGATGAATTTTTCTTTTTAGCTCATATTCTTTTGATAATCGGTAGTGGTTTAGTAGCTATACCTATTATTTTGGGTATATTTGGTATATTACGACGTCGTTGGCGTTATTTAATAATTTGTCTTGCTTTATTATCACTTTATATGGCATGTTTATCAGGTGCTGTTGCATCAGGTTTTGCTTATTATGATCAACTTAAACAAAGTCTTCAAAATGATGCTGTAAATTACTCAACAAATCTTATTTGGACATCAATTCGTCAAACATATAATTGTACTATCAATAATTGTGTTTCAACATTAGATGACATTATGCATGCAAACAAACAACGTATTGGAATTATTTCATCGGTTTTCCTACTAGTACCATTATTAACAAGTATTATTATCATATTTCATATGCGACGAGATGTTTTGTACTTTAAATGATAGTACACATACATACATAAAAGTACATATATTCTTGAAGGTCATAAATCTGTTTAACTCTTATTCTCTTCCTTTTTTTATAATCATACTTTTTCTTTCGCTCTCTCTTATATGCAATACGGTGCTAGATTTGTATAAGTATATGTGTCTATGTTATTCACCTGATGAAATATACATAACTATTAAAATTGAATAAAACAAGAGAAGGATAGATGTAATGCTTTTCTCTCTGTCGTTACTGCTTACTGAACTAGTAATTGACCGTGATATTAAAGTTTTTTTTCTCTCGGTCGATGATGTAATAGTATATACAAAAAAAGAAAAATGAATAGCTTAATGTGTGACATCGAGAGATGGACCAAATAAAGGCAAACGGTAACTTGAGAACTATACTTTTGTATACATGCACATGTGTAAATTTTAACTTCTTTGTTGCCTTTTCTATTCATTGAACAATAATAATGCTGGACAAGACTTGTCACCATGAATATTTTAAAAAAATCTACATATTTTATTTATATGTATACAACACATACTTCATCTATTCAAATTTCTATTGTCAAGTTGGATTAATTTTAACAAACAGTTTATTTAACGAAATGATGTCTTGCGTGATTGTCCGAACAAAACAATTCGATTGATTTTATTGATATTGTATAAGATGAATGTAAAGTAAAGATGATTATCATACAATAATCTTATGAAAATGTCATAGAAATTCATTTCGTACTCAATTTGTAAGATTACATATGCATCATTCATGAAAATCAGTTACTTTTATAATACTGTCAATGTGACTATCTTCTCTTGCTTT